GCTTGGCAGGCTGGGCTAATATTTAACAAGGAGAGTACTGTGAGCACTGATGTAGTCTCCAAAGGATTAAACAAATGGCAGGGCACCAAGGATCCTTTGAGTCTTCCACTGCCACCACACATGCTCTTGTCCTACTCTATTGGATAAATATGTTTGAAAGTTTGTACATAAATCCACACTTAGGTATTGATCTGATTTCTAGAAAGGTTCAGCGTAATTCCCACTTTCATCCCAGTACAGCAGGCCCTCTTCATCCCAGGAGAGAAATGCGCCTTCTGCTAAGAGTGGGAGCTTTATAAAAGAAGCAGCAAATGTAATGAGATCAGCAAGAAAAATGCTACCTGTTTTATGTATCAATATAATAAATCAAAGTTAAAATAATTGGATTTTTTCCATTTTAATTCAGGTTAAAATAGCATGCAACATTACCCAAAATGGCAAGATACTCTGGCAAGTGCACCTGTATAGACAGTTCTACCTGCTGCCATCTGCATTCCCTTCTGTATCACCATTATTCTATATTCTAGGTAAACACTACCCTTATTCTTTTATAAATTAATTCTCCCTCCCTTTCTCTCTCTCTCTCTCTTTTTTTTTAAATTTTTTTTTATTAAGACTATCAAAGGGACAAGCAGAAGCTAGAAACTGTAGAAACTGGTGCCATCAGGTATCTGAAAATTGGTCAGGAATGCACAGACAAACTTCAAGGGCTGAGAAATGAATGAACAGGTAACATAAAGGCTTGTGGTGACTTTGGAGGGCCACGAAGTAAATGCTTTCTCAGAGTTGGTAATTCTGCATATTCTTTATGTTTCAAACTTCATTCTTAGCAGTTGGCAGCATGTTTTTTTCCAAACATATCTTACTTCTGGATATGAAACATGAATACTACTATCTTAATCAAAATTACCTGTATTTGTTCACAAGGCTTTTAAAATACAGTGTTACAGAGAATTTAAAGACTTACCAAAACAAGAACATGGACAGTTCTGAAAAGAGTCTGATGCAAATGGCTAATGAGAGAAAGTTCTTCATTAACATTTTTACATTCACAAATTGAGGAAACATCATCTAAGGCTGCCATAGCAAGAATAGAGGGTTGGCATGCAATTAATCCCTTTGCAGAAGCCACTACATGAAACAAGTCATTATAAAAATCAGACCAATGTGCATCTTGGTTTTCTTGAGTTGCTACATACTTCTCGAAAGTCACTTAAATCAAAATGTTCAAAAGATTTTAAGAATTTTAGGTAAATGGATCTCTAGTGTTGTAACTTGGACACCTTGAAGGACACATTAGGCTTCTGTTCAGGGTGGAGCTTACAGGAACTTTGCCAAAGCATGTTCCTTAAAGACTGTCTCAGACTGTCTATGCATCAGACAGCTGGCTTCTCTAGGGATGCATTGTTAACTTCTGTGTGAGTTACAGCAGAATTATGAGGGGATACAATGGAGATATTTGAGATTTCTGGTGTGCTTGCAAATCTAGTGATAGGTAGAAATTTGGTGTTATCAGTCAATGAAATTCTGCTAATGAGTACCTGTGAATACAGAGCAAAATACCTGTGAATAAAGAGCAGTGTCTTTATGACACCTTAAATTGCAGTAACTGCCACAATGCCCCTTCATGGACATTCATGTGCTACAGCACACTGAAATACCATAACTCCATATTCTAAAGGCCATTGAACATCTAAAAAATCCAGAAAATAAGCAGGACCTCAGAAGCATGCTAGAATTTTAGCTAGTTGGGAGGCTTGGATGCTTCACCAAGCAACTTGTGCAGTCTGAAGGTGATATGCTTTACATAATATAGATAAAATTTTCAGTCAATCCTTACTGTCCCAGAGAACATTTTAACATAAAACCCACTAAATTTGCCGAAAGAAGTTATTTGCGTACTGATCCATTTTTATCCAGTTTTGCAGGCATGCAGGTATTTGTGGACACCCTTGAGAACTGAACCAAAGACCAAACAAATTGCTTTTAAGCTTCCAGTACTCAGAGGTAGTCTCTCCTCAGTGCAAAGATGTTAAAAAGACAAAAGGTATATCAGAATGGAACACCTGCCCTTCTATTTAAATGTACGTCCATCTAAAGCATCTGAATATATTTATTGTAGTGTGTTTATTTTCCTTTGAAATCAAACTGTATTTAATAGTCTTCTTTTAAGTCATGATTATTATTTCCTATAGTCACAAATTGCATGGACTATTAGGTATGCACATGTAGCCATGAAATCCAAATAAAACTATAAATAACATATAATACACAATTTAAGAAATGCTATACAACAATACAATAATATAAATAAATATTAGAACCAGGGGCTATCAATCAGTTTTCCTACAAAAGGCATCTTTCAATGAAAAGTGAGCATAAACCCTAATGCTCAGTTAAGATCTGTTAAAAAATTAAACAGGAAGCAAATTTTCAAAGACCAGTCACTCGAGTAATGCCTCATATTAGCTCTAGTCATCTGAAGTTGGCAGTATGCTGTCTTTTCCTGTTCTGAGGAACATTTTTGTCCTGATATGCAAGTTTCAGTTATGCCCTTAAAATTCCATCCTTTAAAATGTTCCATACTTGTCATAAAATAATTTTGGCTTCTTTACACCCAATACCCTAAACCAAATTGTAAACCAGGTTTACATTTACCTTGTAAACCCATTCATTACAATGTTGTTAGCATTTCATGAGTCTTCATATTGCACCAGATGTAAAGTTTATTCCTTTCTATGTCCTTGATCCAGTCTTAGCTTCAAGGCATAATTCCTTGGGCTCTTCTGCAAGAAGGATCTAAGCAGCTTAAAAAGGTAAATTTCTTTTATGGGCCCACCAATTCCTTCTCTGAATTTCATTCTCTGAAATTCTCACCAATTTTCACTCTCTGAGGAAATTTACTGTAGGTTGGTTTTGACACAATACTCTGATATTTATGGTGTTCCCAAAGAACACTATATGAAAATATTGGGGCACAGGGAAGGGAGAGAAGACATTTTTCTGAGGAAACTGAAAACAAAAATAGTATTGTCCTGAAAACTTCTATGAGGAGAGAGTTAAACTTGTGCTGGTCTTGGGGGGTAGTGGAGGGGGGGGTGTGTGGCTATTCTTCCTTAGACCTAATGAGGGCATTCATAGACCACTATTGCAGTATCATGCCAAATATTTATGTATTTCTGGTAAGCAAATTATAATCCACAGATCCAAATTTGCTCAAAAGCATTGAAAAGATAGAAAGGTGACCTGCTCCAAGTGAAGTTGTAGGAATGCTTTTATGTCACACAGAAATCCAAGTGATTGCTGTGCCCTGACGAGTTTATATTTTGTATGACATACGTCCTTGTATCAGTTTAAAAACCCAGTTTACAATTACATCAGGCATAAGGAAAGGTACTAAGAAAGGCACACTCTGTCCAGGGGTAGAGCTGGGTAGCTTAACAGGCTCTGTACAGCTACACAGACAAAAGAATGTTGCCACCACCATGAGCATTATGTGAACAAGGACAATGCTCACCTGTATTGAAAAAACAGGTGCTGCAGATTCACCTGCTTCCATGTTGCAGTTTCTCTGCTACCTCACTCCTCTGACCTCTCTACCAATCAGCACTGCAGCTACAACATCCATCTTCAAATGCTCATCTCTTTTGTGAAAAATTAAAACACATTTGTTGATTGTCCAGGAATAAGAACTGGTCACTTTTCAGATTCCCTGTATCAGATTCCCTGTATCAGGACCACAACACAACTACGGTTTGGTCTTTGCTTAGAAGATGCTCAAAAATACAGAGAAATCCAACAAGGCAAATTAGGGCAACAATTAGGCTTTAATTGTTAGATACATAAAATAAAGTACTAGACTGGGCAGAAATTTTCTGCAGTCTGAATGACCCTATCTGACTCCTATTCAAATGTAGGAAAGGAAAAAAAAAATCAGGATTATCAAGAGAAGTAGATATATACTATAGCAATTTTTCTCAGGAAAATAATTGAGAGGAAGATACATGGCCAAGTAAAGCAAATAATCTATCCTCTTATTGCATAAAAAAAAACCAAACAAAACCACAACAACAACAAAAGAAACCTAGCATAATTTAGATCAGTGGTCTACACTGATAAATTTGTCAGGGCACAGCAATTACTTACATTTCTGTGTGACATAAAAAGATTCCTATAACTTCACTTTTTTTTGTGCATCCCCATTAGTAAAGCATTTTTGATCACACACGCCTAGCCTACAAATATTTATTTTATCAGTTGTATACATACATTACTGAAGTTCTAGTATTTCCTTCTGGCACCCCATTAGATCATCTCATGTGGGCCCACTTTAGACACCACTGATTTAGATCATCTAAGTATCTTAAAAAACTGCGGTGCTTTGGAACACAGAAACATCCAAACACGGGGGCTTATTCCTTAAAATGTTGCAGAAAAGAGTTGGATTGAGAAATCTCTATTAGCTATGATCAGATACAGTTTTCCAGTCACAAGTAAAGACTATCAAACCACAGATTATATTCTGTGCATTGATTCCAGTTTTAAAATAATTCAGTCATTAGAGAAATTAAACAAGTAGCTGGCCCAGCCACTGGGTAATCAGTTGATGAAGAACTATTTCAAGCACCATCAGAAAGCAAGGTACAAAAAGTATCATATATTAAAAAGAGGTCTTGAGAGTTGAAAATGAGAGCTATGAGAGCAGAGTGTGAACATTTGCACAAAGAAAAGAACAGTCCATGAACTGTCACGACTTTTGGGAGCACGGCAAACTCTGAAGATTAAAATGAGTCTGGACAGTGGTGTGTCATTGGCACAACAAGGAGGGGAAATTGAGAAGCACTGGCCAGGATCAACACAGCCAGCTTCATTGAGGCACCTATTCACCACAGTCACTGAGATGCATAATTCAGTGTGCCTTAAATTACACCATAGTAATGATAATTCTAATACTATAATATGTATAATTATAAAAATAATTAACTATTATCTTGTTTTACCTTGGAACAGAAGTTCACAATATTTTCAGTAGTACACAGAAAAAGAACATGAAGGCCCTGTAGTCTTGTCATCTTCCAAATTTCTTTTAAATGTCAGCACTACAGAGGAAAGTAGCAGGGAAAAAGTACTGGCAGTCTTTTACTGTCCTTCTTAGGTGAAAGCCTAAAATTATATGCCATAAACTAGTCCAACATATTTTAGAGAAGAATGGATGGGAAAGATGGTCACTCTGTCCTCTGTTAGACTGCATCCCATAAATGTCTAAAAACAATGTATCTCAACCAAAATGTTTCAGGAATGCTACACCTCAAGTCTCTTCAGAGGGCAGATGCCCTTCATCAGGAGATGAGCTTACAGTCTTTCAAAGGAGTTTCTGGAGCCTTGCTCAGATTCCCAAACCACTTATTTCCAGCTTGCCTCATCTGCCAAGTTCTAGGTACCCATGTTCTTGAAGAACTCACAACATGCAACAAGAAACAAGAGCTCTAAGACAATGGAAGCAGTATGTTTCTCCTCTACAATGAATATGTCCATCACAGAAGACTTCTTTAAAAGTGTGTCCCTCAAACCAGTCACCCATTTCCTCAGAAGGCAGCTTGCTTGTGATGCTGCTAAGCAAACATCAGGAGATCCAAAATCATTGTCCTTTGAAGCTGTGGGTTCTAAGGATGCACATATTCTTTTGCTCCTTGTTATGAAATCATAGGGTTACCCTGGGGGTGTCCTCCTTTTATGGGTCCCTAACATTCCAAACATCACAAATTAGAAAAGGTCTCCAAGGCAGTTTTTTGTGAATCTCACAGTATTTTTGAAGGTAGTAACCTCTTAAGGATAAGAATCAGTACAAAATGGCATATGGAATTAGCTCATCATTGGGTTAAGTAAAACATACAGTTATTTCCTTATTCATTCTGTCCTGTGAAGCTCAGCTCTTCAGAGCAGCGAAAGAACAGTTATCAGACAACTGGCAATTAAATTTATAATGGGCAGTTAAAATTGGACGTTCTCTTCCCTTTCGGAGCAATGCTCCTGCATTTTGACATTCCATCTCACAAGCCGGCTGAATCTTGTAGGCAAATTTAGGTCAAATAAAAAGAAATACCCAAGAAAAATTTGTTTTAAAGGCAATCTACGTTCTCCAAGGCTCCAAGAGCGCCGCAGTGTGCCGGCGCTGAGGCGGTCCGTCCCCCGGACACCTAGCGGTAATTGCGCACCTAGCAGGCGCTCCGGCAGCGAGGAGCCTTCCCGGCCCAGGGCTCCCGCGCTCGGTGACGTGGCTTGGGGACAGAACGGCGGGCGGGCACCGGGAGCGCCCCGCCCCAGAGCGGCAACGGGCGGAGCGCGGGCCGGCAGCACGCATGCACCGGCGGGCGGGCAGAGGGAGGAGCCGCGTCCGCCGGGCGGGCTGGGCTCCTCCCTCCTCCTCCTCCTCCTCCTCCTCCTCCTCCTCCTCTTCTTTTTCCTCCTCCTCCCTCTCCTCCTCCTCGTCGCCGTCTTCTTCTTCCCCCTCCCCACCCACCCGTCTCCAGCGCTTTCCCGCCGCCCGCCTTCCACGCACGGCGGGTCCCGCCTCGCGCCGCTGCCGACACGGCCGCCGCTGCCGCTGCGGGAACAAAGGAGCGAAGCGGCGGCGGCGCGGCCGCCAGCCCGGCGCCCCCCGCTACCCCCGCTCTCCCCGCAGCCGCCCGGAACTGTCCGAGGCGCCTTCTACGGCACCCGCCGCGGGGTTTGTGGCCCCCGCCGGGAACAGGTGGGTGAGGGGTGGTATGCTGGGCTTGGCTCCGCGGGGCCTTTACCGCGACGGGGTGTGCCCGGGCCTCCTCTCGGGCGGCCTCGTTGCGTTCGGCCTTCGGCGGGGCCGCTGCGGGGCAGCGCAGGCGGCGAGACAGTGAGGTTCCTGTGTCTAGCGGCGGCGTGGGGCCTGCCGGCGGCGGGGCCGACCGTGACTCAGGCGGTTGCGAGGAGCGGCCGAGCTGGAGACCCCAATCCGCTGCTGCCGCTCCTCAGCCCGGCAGCCTCGCGGGTCTTTTGTGTCCGGGTGTCGGGGGAGGCGGAGGGGGTGGGAGACGCGGTTAAGATGCGCGGCACTGCGGGCGCTTGGCAGGGCCCCCCGCTTTGTCTGAGTCAGCCGCCGGACTGCAGCCGTCTGGGGAGCGCCCTGCTCTGGTTCGGTTCCCCGGTACCGACACTGGGCTCTGCCGAACGCGAGTGAGCGGCGAGTGACCCGCGCAGCCTTTGTGCGTCCTCCTTTTGTTTTGTTCCTGTGTTTCTCGTGTTTATCGTGATCCCTTTCCGGAAGGGGGATGTTGAGGCCATTCGGTATGTAGGTCAGTGAGCCCGTTGCTAACGCAGTGCCCAGGTTTTCGGGCTGCTTTCAGCGCGCGTTGGGGCCCTCGTTTTTGTCGTTACGCCGCCAGTGCGGGATCGCCCGGCTGGACGGCGGCAGCCCGGCCATGGCCTCGGGCCCGAGGGGATGACTGAGGTGCGCGGCCGGGGCCGCTAACGGGATTTACCCTCCCCTTTCTCCAAGTTGGGCTGATGACGGCGAGGTCCTGGTGGAAGAAGACCTTTTTTGATTATCTTTTTCCCTCCTCTCGAAGATGAGCGGTTGGGTGTAACCCTGCCCGCCCCGTGTTGCGGGGCGCACTGGTGGAGCGATGGTTGCTTTGGGGCGCCCATCGCGGGAGGCGGCGGGCTGGTAATGCCGCATTTTCTGGGCTGCAGGTCAGCACCCGCTCTCCCCGCTCCTCCCTGGAAGGGAAGGGCAGTCGGGTTTCGCCGGCGCCTCCTCCCGGAGCCGGCGGCCTGCGGGAGATATAAATAGGGGGTGACTTCAGCGGGCGGCCCGGGCCCGTCACGCCGCCGCCTGACAGGCGGAAGCGCAGGCGCTCGTCCGCCCATGTGACCGGCCCGCCGCGGCGGCAGCGGCACCGCCGAGAGCGCAGGGCCCGGCCCGGAGCTGCGGTAAGGCGTCGGTCGAGGGGCGGCAGCCGTAGCGGGGTTCCCCTTGTCAGGCGGCGCCTTGAAAATGAACGCGGGTGAAACCCCGGCCGTCTCCCGGAGCCTAGAAAAGCGTGACTTGTGTGTTCAGCGTTGGGTAGCAACGTTCCGTCAGGGGCATGCATTTCAAGTAGCGTAACACTCTGCCGACCAAAGGAGCTGCTGAGTTTCTAGTTTGCGCTGGAATATTAGAGTTGGCGCCTAAAGCAACATTTAGTAAGTGATGAAATTTTGGGGCACTGACTGGGAAATAAAACAGGTCAGTTGATGTTGGCAGTGTGTTTGATAGCATATTGATCTTACCTGGCTAGTAACAAAAGGGCAGCACTATTATTTTTCTGTGTTATGTAGACATAGTTCTGTGTATTGTCAAAGATGACAAGATTTTTTCAGATTTCCTCTAGGTGGGTCGGGCTTTCTTGTAGCTCCTTTGCTCGTGTGTTTGGCTGTAAAATTGTATCAGATAAAGTGTGAGGTCATGTTGTAGCCAGAAAGAATGCTATTTATACCTGGAAGGTGTTAAAAGCTATAAATAGTACAGCTATTTATACCTGGAAAATTAGGTCCTGTGACTACTAGCTGACAGGATGAATTTTGCTTGTTTACTTTCTCCCGGTTTTGCTTACTGTCATCCCAGAAGTTTAGTTTAGCTAAAGGCACCTGTCAGTTGCAGTTGTACTAGGGAAACATAAGTACTACTTGCCGTGTGAGCTCTCTTAATTAGAATCATTTTTCTTTATGCTGTAACGAATTTGCTTTTGGCATTTTTGACTTCTAGCAAATCTCAGCTGTCAAATATCTCTTACTGTGACTGTTTCTGAATAGGAAAACAGCAATCCAAAGTTTATACTAAAATGTCTTCAGATGCCATATGCGCAGCTTCTACTAAATTTAAATTTTAGTGCAATGTTGTTACATTACTTCAATTTGTAGCAAATGCATGATTACGGTGTTCCAGTTTTATTGCCCTTGGGAGTCAAGGATTTGGCTGCTATGCCTTTTTCTACTAACCTTGCTTTTCAGAGGCTAACAGGCGGCGAAGGTGAAGTTATTATTTCTAGCATGCTTAGCACTGACTGGCTCTGGAGGGCTTAGAAGTCTTGACAGAACCTGATTAGAGAAGGGATTTTTTTCTTCTGCAAGTGTGTAAGCTATGTAACAGAAGATATTCAATAGTTTGGAGTTGTTATTGTTATCTCCCTTGGAAGACTGTTGTGAGAGTAATTGTGAAATTAGCCTCAAAATGATGTAAGATCAGTGCTGAAAAAGCAGGGCTTTTCTGCTGGAGTCTCTTGGCTCTGCTGGAGTACAGAAAAATAAGCTATATTATTTGCCAGAACTGTTTTGTTGGTGTGAGCATAGTCTTATTTATTCTGCATATCCCTGTTAGTGCTCAGAAGCTAGCACTTAAGGAGGATTTTTGTCTGTCAAATTAACTTGCACATGCAGTTCAGTGCTCAGCAAGTATATTATTTCTCAGTATTAGTATGATGACACTTTGTCTTGTACTAAAGGTTCGTAATGATGTTACTTAGCAATAAATTGCGGTCTTGAATGGTATATTAATGTTCATATAACCCTCTTTAAGAATGGTGATATCACTTGGTGAGGCAGGATGAGCAGATATACTTAAAATTCTTTAAATTCTTAATACGTTTAACCCTGTAATTGATTTTGGTGGCATGCCTGCTTCTAATGCAGTTTTTGATTTTATTTACAGCATCGAGATGACTCAGGAGACAAACCAGACCCCAGGGCCTATGCTGTGTAGTACAGGATGTGGATTTTATGGAAATCCTAGGACAAATGGGATGTGTTCAGTTTGCTACAAAGAACATCTTCAGCGACAGCAGAATAGTGGTAGAATCAGCCCAATGGGTAAGAGTGTTGGGAATTGTTGGGGGTTGGGTTTCTCTATTTCTGTAGAAATTAAATATACAGAGAATTACAAGGGCTATTAGAACGTTTTGTTAGAGAACTTCTGAAGGCTGAACTGAAAGAATGAATATTCAAAGAAAATACGACTTAAAAGCACAGTAAAGATAAAAATAATTTTTGTTTAATGTTCTGGTTTGCTTGGCATTCAATCATAACTTGCTTTCCCACTTAGCCACTTCTGTTAGCATTTTTTTAATGCAATCTCTGTTGTGGTTATTATGTAAAAATGTCTTTAAGTAAAAAATAATAAGCAGTAGCATTGAAGATTGTATGCAGGCAGTTCATAGCTGTATAGGAGACTATTTAATTAATGTGTTTTCTGTGATTTGTTCATAACTTGTCAAATTCTTGTTACATAGGAACAACCAGTGGTTCAAACAGTCCTACCTCAGACTCTGCATCTGTACAGAGAGCAGACACTAGCTTAAACAACTGTGAAGGTGCTGCTGGCAGCACATCTGAAAAAACAAGGTAAAATAAAGGTTGTACTGTGACGGTTGAATGAGCTGTGTGTTTGCTAGAAGGCCTGCAGCAATCCTGTCCTGTTGCAGTGAGTGCCTGCAGAAGAAAATGGGCCTGACAGGGCTCTATGAATCCATGTAAATTGAAAAATCATTCAGATATTTGGTGTTATAGTACTGCAGTAAAAGGAATGGGTTTTGTTTATCTACGGAACTAATTTGTTACAGGCTTGCCTGTTTTTTTCTAAAATACTACAATCTAAAATATAATAAAGAAGTATTTTGAAGATAGTAGAAGTATAGGTCAGGAAAATGTATCAATAGTGACTAAACCAATAGTTCATTAATGGGTCTGAAGAGTTCAAGCTTTTATTACTAATGTAAAACTGATGTAAATTTTGTGTTTCACTGTGCTTAAACAGAAACGTGCCTGTTGCCGCATTGCCTGTAACACAGCAAATGACAGAAATGAGCATTTCAAGAGAGGAGGAATTAAAACCGAAAACCGAGACTGAGCCAGGTATGTTCTCGGCAACACTGGTCATAACCAATGTCTTAACATGAGTGCAAAGTGTGTTTACTTTCTGAGTAGCCATCTCCTGTTGTGGTGGTGGTCTTAAGAAATGTGTTTAGGATGCTTTTTGAGTACAGTCTGCTCAGAATAAAGAAAAAGGACTAGTTCCTTTTTCTTTATTCCAGAACAGCTTTTAAATATATGTTAATTGTTAGTAAAAGATTTTACACTTATAGGGGTGTTTTTAGATCCCTAACATTTGTTTTTAAAGGTGAGGCACTCTAAAATCATATTAGGGCAAGGTGTTCTGTTTTGAAGTGGAACTGTTTGGATTCGGTATGTTATCTAGCAGAACAATTCCAGCTGACTCATGGCAGTCAAAATGGCTTGTTGTGTTTGGAGAATGGTGCTTAATAAATTCCATTCTACAGAGAAGTGAGGCTGTTGGGGAAGGGAGAATAGGTGGTTTAGAAACATTAACAGAAGTTGCTTAGGGTTCTTGAACTAATTGAGTAATCCCTAGATATACTCAATGCATTGTTTCAGGGATGTAGGGTAGTTGCAGCTTTAAATGTTATGTGTGAATTGTCCATTTAACAGTTTTATGCTCATGTTGGATTGTTGTAGCTGGAACAGTAAAACTTCGAGGACTGAGCTAGTTCTTGTACTGAGGCAGAGAGGGAGGGCAGCTTGCTTAACCTAACTAGTGAACAACTGAATTTGTACCAAATGGATATCTTAACACTTAAAACACTTGTTTTGTTCTTAACAAATCCAAAGGTTTTTTTTTTTATTTATCAGCTCTGAAACAGTTTTAAAAACTAAAAACTGATGTGTGTAGTAGGAAATCTGTTTACTCAAGCTGAAGGTAAAATCTGTTTCTCCAGTTTTGAAGTCATTGAGATAAAAATGGCATCAGATGCTGCTAAGAACTCTATCAAAGTGGTTTTTATCTAGTTATATCTTTGCCAACAAAGACTGTTCTGACACTTTATGTTAATTTACAAAGTATTTGTACAAAGGGTTTTTACCATTTTCAGTAAAAGCTGTCACAAGCTTGTGTAGAGATGGTTGGAAATTCTACCAGAGAACTTAAATGGCTCTGGAAAAACTTGAAAACTTGAAAAAACTACCTTCTGAGAGAACACACCTGTAAATTCATGAGGCAGCCTCAGCTGCTATCATGCCCAAATTCCCTTTTAAGTGTTATTGTTTGGCATAGATCCTAGACAGTGTAAGATAATGTCCTTATATACTATTCTTAGGGTTTGTTGGACTTCTTAATTTAACAGTGTTCGCTATATTTAGTGGTGCATTACTCTGTGTCTTGCAGGCAAGAGAAGCTGGCCTGGACTTTTTAATAAAAGTTCCTGATGTGTCTGGACTAGGCAGATTTTTTATCTTCCTTTTTTCCAGTAGCATCCATTATGTGTTGGTCTCTTGAAGACAAACTGGAACAATTGTAAATAATTTGCATCACCTGATAGCAACGAAAGTTAATACTCTCTTTTAGACATGATTCTCTAAAATAATACAGTCATAGAGTTGTTAATGAAATAAACGTGTAGCTATCAGCATAGGCTGACACTAGAGGCAATATCGTAACTGGACGGTACTAGATAATGAGCTGTATCTTCAAAAATATGAAGTCACATTCTCTTTTGCCAGCTGTTCATTAGCGAAAGAGATTTTGTATGCTTCCCTTACAAATCAGAAACTTTAAAAGAAGGATTACATCTGGTAAATTATTTGTTTTTGCAATCCTGTAGCATAAAATTATACTTTTTTACTTTTGGAATTGAAACAACTGACTAGAAAGTGGAGAAGTTGAGAAAAAATAAACTATCGTTATAAATTATCAAATCGGAAACCAAATCTATAAGAAAATTTAGCAATGAGTTATTAGATTGTTAACAACATAAAATTTTGAGAAAAACCACCACAGCCAAGGCAGCGTCAACCCCAGGTGTCGGCGCTGGGCGAACCGGGATCCAACTGACAAAGTGTCAGCGTCTCCCCAGTGGTTCACCCCGACTGCTTCAACAGCTAGCTTATATACAGTGTATTCTGCCTGAGGCAGGGATGACTGAATGTTCCTTTGTGTCCCTTCACATGTAGAATTGGGGCCATACGTGTGCAGGAATAGACAAAAGTTAGTCCAGGTGTCTAGATGGTTGTCTGAACACTTTGGAAGAGCCTTCATTCACATGTAGCAGAGTGGTGCCAGTGCTTGAGTATAGTAGATGCAATCTTCCCAGGTGCAGGTCGTCATGAGTGGCTTAGACATTCCAGGGAAGTCAGCAATCATGGCCCAGAAAGGTTTCATTCATACTTTTAACAGACTTGATATTTTTTTTTGTCTGGCAACTAATTGAATAAAAATAAGACTCTGCTTCCAGCCAAGGGATGTATTTTATACATATATAGCATGAATTATCTCTACCATATACTACACTGTGAAGTTTAACAAGCTTGTTTCTATTTATTTTGTTGGGAATTTTTGTTTTTTCTTTGCTCAGATTGAGGTTGCAACCTAGATTCGCCTTCAGAGCAGACCTGGTGCTAAGACAATTGTACCTTAACATCTGAAGAAAGGCATGGTGGATGTAACTCCGTTGTAACTCTCATGATTGTTTTCTTGTAACTTGTTGAAGTGCTGTGAGTCTTGACTGGATTCCAGGCACCCATGAAAGCCTCACTCCCCTCCTCAGCTGGACAGGGGAGAGAAAATAAAATGATGGGTTAATGGGTTGAGATAAGGATGGAGAGAGATCCCTCCCCAGATACCTGTCAGGGGCAAAACAGACTTGAATTAGAGGTGTGGAGTTTATCATTAACAAGATCAGAACAGGATAATGAGAAGTAAAATCAGACCTTAAAAACACCTTCCCCCGACATCCTCTGTGCCTCCTAACCCAGTGGTGCCAGGAGCCAGGGTTGTGGTCAGGTCATCACCCAAGGCGCCTCCTGCTCAGGGAGAGGAGTCATTCGCTTACTGCACTGTGGGCTCCCTCCCACTGAAGAGAGCTCTCTGTGAATTTATCCAACATGAGTGTATGTCACGAGCAGCAGGTCCCTGAGAACTGCTGCAATATGAGTCCATTCCATGGGCAATGGCACCCCTCAGACTGCTGCAGGGTGGGTAACTTTTCCATGGGGTACAGTCTTTCAAAGACAGGCTGCTCCAGCATGGGAGCAGAGCCCCTGTCTGCTCCCATGGGGTCACAGCCTCCCTTGAGGCATCCCCCTGCTCTGGCCTGGGGCTCCTCCCTGGGCTGCACATGGATCTCTGCATCCCCGTAGACCTCCGTGGCTGCAGGGGCACAGCTTTTCACAATGGTCTGCACCACAGGCTGCGGGGGAATCTCAGCTCCAATGCCTGGAGCACCTCCTGCCCCTCCTTCACTGATCTTGGTGTCTGCAGAGTTGTTCTGCTCACAAGTGATTACAACTGATGCTGTGCAACAACTTCTCTTTTTCTTTCTACTTAAATATGTTACCACAGAGGTGTTACCACCATTTCTGATTGGCAGAAAGCAGCACATCCCACTTTGGAGCTACCAGGGATTGTCTCTGCCAGACGTGGAAGAAGCTTCTACCATCTTCTGATAGAAGCCACCTCTGTGGCCTTGCACTACCAAAAACGGGCCATACAAAACCAATCCACCGCTATAAATAAATGGTTTTAAAAATAAGTTTATTTCAACAATTGTATTGTTTTAATGCACAGCATATTTTTAGCATTTTCTTAGACTTTTGTAGGTGATTACTTTGCGAAATTATCAGCTTCTAGTCAGGTCTGTCAGTGTTTCCAGACACAGTATCTGCACTGGCTCAAGAGTTTAGTACTTTTTGTGGTTGTTTTTGATTGGATTGGGTTTTTTAATGCAGTAATACTCTGATTAGGGTGTAGTGTTATATGTAAGTAGTATGGCTTATGAAAAAGTAAACCAGAAATTAAACTGATAATGGTATTGTGTAAGTTACATATTTTAAAAATATGTAAATACTGTCAACTTCTGTCCATGCTGTGACTTATCCTGTCATGCAGCAGCAGCAGTGTTAGAAGACTGCAGGCAATGCTGATTGGCATGTCTCTGCTCTCAATCAAGCTGTTAGGGTTAGAGCTGTTTTACAGCTGTTGAGCATTCAGGTTGAGAGACCCTGTAATGGGTTACCCTTGCTATGCTGTAGGTAGAGGCAGTTGCAGGTAATACTCTGGTAAGATGTAAGGTAGCTTATGATGTCGGGTAAGATCAAGATGTACGTACATGATGTTCCATAAATCTGTTTGTAATAAGTGCCTTGTTTGTTCCGGTTTGTTTTTACACATGGCTGTACTAGTTTCACCACGTTGCTTGCTGTAAACAGTTACATTGTATTAGTAACATTCTATATTGTGTTTGAACTAATTAGCTTGTCTTCATGTTTCCCATGCCTGCTGTAGCTTTGGTAAACACTCCTGATTGAAAAATTTCAGAAATTAAGTCTCTTGTAAGCGCTGAAGCTGTCCACTGCACAGAAAAGCGCTGAGGACCTAACTGCTGGTTCTGTGTGTGTTGGTGATAGCACATTATTGTTATTATTTAATAGTGATACACCATGCATGTCAAGTCTTTATGATAACCAAATTAAACTGTGTTTCTGTGACTGGGGAATCAGTATGTTGTGTTAATGGGCATATTAATTTAAGGTATTAAATACGCAAATAGAAGAGTTAGACTTAAGAGTTAGGCATGGAGAAGTGAGTGGCATGCTGCAGAACATTTATATTCCCACTCTTCAGCATGAGAGTAACCATGATGGACGTTTGTTCTGCAGCCTTTCATCACAGGCACATAGGTTGGCATAGAAGTTATAGTTCCTGAGCAAAAGTTCAACAAAGCATAGCAGGTACTGCCCATCCTTCCAGACTAAAGTTTTGTGTGCAAGCACCTTGTTGTCTTAGACTAACCCCAGCTGATAGCTAAGTGCTATGCAACCACTCACTCAGTTCTTGCTCTCCAGTGCTGAGGACAGTCGGTGGAGGAAAAAATGAAACCCCATGTGTTAAGATAAAAAAGCTTAACAATTAAAATGAAGTAAGATAAGCAATGCTGATGGTAGTAACAATATAATTGTAATGAGAAGAGGAGAAGAAAGAATAAACTCCAGATATTTCACCAGTGATGCATACTACATTTGGTTACCAACTGCTGACTGATGCCCAGCTCATTCCCCAGCAGTGGTTGGCAGCTCCCAGTCAACACTCCCCAACACTCCCCATTTATACACTGGGGGAAGTGTGTTCTGATGTGTGGTTTATTCTTTGGCTTGTTCATTCAGGTCAGCTGTCCCAGTGATTCTCTCTCCTGGCTTTTTGTGCACCTGTTTGTTTGCAGAGCACGTGGAACTGAGAAGTCTTTGTTTTAAAGTAAAAGCACTATTTAGCAATATTTAAAACACTAGTTTTATTATTTGACACTAGTAATATATCAGCATTATTCTCATACTGAATCCAAATTGCATCACTGTACCAGCTACTGAGAATAAAATAACTCTATCCCAGCTGAAACTAGGGCAGTTGTGCTCATATGCAGTCTAAGGATTCTATTGTGTCTAGTACTTCTGTTACTACTACTATTGTTTCAGGTCCATAACTGCAGAAATGCATCTAATGTATTTTGGATAACTTCTGACTTGACCTTTTCTCTCTCTTGTTTTGTTTTTTCTGTTTCTTTGATTCCCATGAGTCTAAGAAGAACTTTATTCTTAAGTTCATAGAACCTTTTTGCATGTAGATTGAGTAGCTGTTGTAGTTTGTCCTGTAGGTGGTTCCATCAGTGGCCTTGCTGCTCCTCTTGTAAGGATGCATCTTATCTTAAGGCTACATTTGAAGGAAATTTTCCAAAATTCGTGATGAAATGCCTGCATTTGTGTAGACTTTTTCAGGCAGGCTCATCCAGTGTAGGATTAGGTTAGTCTTTAATTTGCTAGGATAATAGCCATCATTGGCCATGATGGTAATGCATATTTATAGTCCCTGCAGGCAATCATGTAAGACCAAAATAGTGTTAATAAAAGCCTATCCAGTTCTGAAAATCAGTTGTCCCTAAAGTTTTTGGCATTGTACTAGGAGAACTGATCTGGTAAAATTTGAGTGAAGTAAATCTTTGCAGGTCTGGAACCAGAGACAGGAGAGGACATGACCAGGGTGATGGAGGGGGCCACACAGAACCCTAGAACCATTTGGGTTGGAAAGGGTTTTATAGATCATCTAGTTCCAAGTCCTCTGTTCCTGTGCATCACTAATCTTAGAGTAAAGAATTTCTGCCTAACAGCTCATGTATATCTATCATGTAATTTTTTCATGTTTCCCCGGATCCTATCACTATCTGCCCACATTTAAATCTATCCCTTTGTTTTATTATCCATCTAAAGTTGGAAAGGTTTCTGTAAGGTATTCATAGAGCCTTGTCATCTCCGTGCTGAGCAACCCCATTTCTCTCAGCTCGGCTTCATAGGAGAGGTGTTTCAGCCTCCTGATCATCTTTGTGGCCCTCCTCTGGTTAACCCCACAGATTTACATCTTTCCTGTGCTGAGAACCCCAGAGCTGGATTCAGCACTCCAGATAGGATGTGCAGTAGCAGAGTAGATGGACAGATCTTGAGCCCATTTCTCAAGTTTGTCCAGATCTCCCTGTCTGGCATCCCCTCCTTCATGCTGAGAATGCACATAATCCCTGTCTGTGTAACTGATTAAGACATGCAAGAGCAGGATTCCCAAGACAGAGCCCTAAGGGATGCCACTCATCACCAGTCTCCAACTGGACATAGAACCACTGACCACACCTCTCTGGCTGTGTCCATCCAGTCAATTCCTTATCAACCACATAGTTAATCATTCAGTTCCATGTTTCTCCAGTTTGGAGATCAGGATAAAAAAGTGCATCATACCAGTAAGAGCTCTTTTACAGCGGTGAGAAGTTTTAGTGTGAGGAGTTTGCTTCATCTGAACACTGTTACTGAGGAAGCAGGTTGACGGGTACCAGCAACCACTATTTTACAGCTTTTGGCACTTTTTCAGCTACCTGTTCTATAGTGATACATAAATCATTTTGTGCACTTTGATTAACACTGTGATTTCTGGCATAAATTTAAGTTAATATCTTGAGGACCGGAATTGTACTTGCCCAGTTGGATTTGTCTCTTGTGTTAAAGGAAGCCTTTTGTGGCAAACAACTGTAAGAACAGTATTTTGATTTAGGTAGGCTCCTGATGTCATGGCAGAACAACTGCAGTTTTCACTATTTTTCATCTGTAGGGTGATGAAAAAGGAATTTTGTTGTAGGGCACAGGGTGGGCAACTTTTTCAACTGTCCTCGCCATTACTCAGAAGCACATTTATGAACATTTAGCATCATAAAAGCCAATCAGACTAAAGTCTGGTGGCATAAAATAACAGCAGAATCCTTTATTCTTGGAGAGTAATAAATGGAACATTTTAGTTTGGATTTAGGGAGCTATGTCCCCTCTTGGCTTGGTACCTTTTAGTGACTATTACTGCATGTTGTGTCCTGCTTTTCCTCCTTGGAAGATGTGTTAGTTGTGGGGGAAGTATCCTGTTCAGCAGCCTTTTCAGGGAACGTGCTGCTGCAGTTTCTTAGAATCACTTTCATCGCTTTACACATTGTGGGCTGCCATTGTTGCAGTTTCTTCATGGAAGAAACTTGTATACTTGGAAGATATAGATGGAAGTATACTTGTAGTAATTGGTAACATTTTCCCTAGATTAATTTGTTCTCAGAGGCTTTGTTTTGTGATGGAGTGATCTACTAAGCTTTTTGTCTTGATAATTCCTGGGAAGTTTTAATTTTGGCTTCCTTGTTGATATGTGTTGACATATTATATAGGCAGTGATGTAAATGATTCTCTTCTCATTTTCATTTTTTCTTAGTGTATGTTGTGAGTGACCTTTTGTCACTGTTTATTTGCCACCCTCTATATTTTCTTAACAATGATTGAAACAGCATGCATGCTCCCAGGGCTCAGATTTTTAAATTACTTCTGACGCAGACAAAGCTTTCTCTTTACTAACTACACAACAAATTGCAATGTGTGTGTTTCTGGTTCCTCTTATTCATCTGTTTTGGCTTACAATTAGCTTTTTATTTTGAAACAAACTAGCAATATAACAAATCTTAAAAAAAGATATTTGACTATACCTTTGGAGAGGTGTTCAGTCTTTGTATTTTTTTAAGGCCATAGCTGACAGCTCTTAGCCAAGGTGCATAACATCTAACAGGTACACTCAGTTTGTGATACTGCTGGCTGTTAGGCCTGTTTTTGGTCACAGGCTCTCTAGTAGACAAACTGGTACTGAACACTGATTGTCTTAGGATTTAAAGACAGGTTCAGAGTGTCATATTTGTTCATCTAGAAAATCTTAATCAAAACAAATTGTTTCCATCAAAAAAGGGTTATAAAATATCTGCAATGTGACCAAAGAAAAACAACAGGTTGTAAATGACCTTGGTTGCTCATTAGCTCTGTTGCTATGATGTAGAGGTATAAAATAATGTTAGCAGTCATTTGTTTTACTGCAAGAAATTTCTTGATTATGAGCACTGAAGGTTCCCTGTTACTTCTGAGAGTTTGTTGCTTATAAGTGTTGTTTAGATTGTGAAGTCTTGCCTGGGGCATTTCTTGTGCAGTGAATTGTGAAGTTTTCTATGACAATGCAAATACAATTTTAACAAGCAAGTACTATTCAAAAGAATCCTGTCTAACAAACCATATTTGTGTGAAGTTAACTGCAAATACGTCCTTGAGGCTTACGTATTCCATTTATTATGAAATGCATTTTGTAATAGACGTTATGATAGACGTTATCATGCTCTGAGGGTGTTCAGCAAACTTGTGCCAAGAGCAGGTATTACAGTTGTGTACAAGTGTATCTCTCAGCTTTCCTTAGTTCCATTTTTGGATATGAAGAGGATATCAATTTAAAAAATTAAATTCTTGGGATAAAACACTTTTTTCAATAAAACAGCCATGTCTAAAGATGTTCTAAAGATGTCTAAAGAGGCAATTGAAAAAGTATTCATTTTGACTATACCTGTTTAAACACAAAAACTGAATAAATTGCAAAAAATACAAATATGCAATGTAAATTTGCACTTTGTTATTTAAATGAGGGCTCTTTAGAACTGTGTATTATGTAGCTGTATTCTCTATCTGTCATAGAATTAACAGCTTCCTAGCTGCTGTCATGGTGAGCTGCCTTAGATACCTGACTTCACTGCAGAAGTGGCAAAACGACCCAGTACTATAGCAGGAACATATTACTGAATTTCTTTTTTTTTTTTCCCTAAAATATGTTCATGTTAGTTATATCTTCTACAGAGGTATCTGTGTTCAGCAACTTTAGCTGTGACAGTATTGTTACTTTTTAGATTAAGTATTACTTTAATCGTATGATTTATTTAAATATAAAAGGTGCACACAGAATTTCTGTCATGCTTTTCAAGCCTGTATAGATATATAGAGTAAGTGCCATTTATTTCCTAAATGTTGAAATGTGCAGAATAATCTCAGTGTCTCAAGTAGTCGCAAGGGGTGGATAAAAATCCTTATTACTGATTCATGTTTTTAGACTAGTCAGCGTAGTACTGTAGGCAACAGATGTCAGGATCTTAGTGGTTGAATTAATCCTTACTGTATGCATACTATTTGATACCTCATGAAGTCATGAAGAAAAGCAAATTTTACCCTTATTTCCTTTGTGTGCTTTTAACAGTTGTTACTCAACCAAGCCCATCAGTTTCTCAGCCTGGTACTTCAGAGAGTGAGGAGAGAGCTGCTGAACTGCCGAAACCAAAGAAGAACAGATGTTTCATGTGCAGGAAGAAGGTTGGCCTTACAGGTATGAGAATACTGTCAATTTTAAACAAATTTGCATGATTAGTTACCTATTGCTAGATTAAACTTGACAAAAATTGTGTTTTATTAGATTTATCAGCTTTTTCACAATTCACACAACTTAGTAAGTCCATTTATTTTTCTTACTCTGTATATCACAGTAGACAAACAGGTCCCCTTTGTAGTGACCCTTAAATAACACCATAATTAAAAACTAATTCCTAGTAATGTTTCTTCTTTTTCTGTGTACAGGATTTGACTGCCGATGTGGAAACCTATTTTGTGGACTTCACCGTTATTCTGACAAGCATAACTGCCCATATGATTACAAAGCAGAAGCTGCAGCAAAAATCAGAAAAGAGAATCCAGTTGTGGTGGCTGAAAAAATTCAGAGAATATAAATTAATGTGCTTGTGAAAAGACTGACTGACTTTTTGTGGGGCTTTTTTTTCAATACATCCTAAAAACCATGAAAAGAGCAGGTGCATGGTCATTTTCCTTTGTTTTTGAAAGTTTTACTTCTAGTCCTGTCTGTCTAAATGATACTTCAAATGTTTGGGTGGTTGTTACAGGCAGAATTGGATAGATACAGCCCTTGAAAATGTATATGCCCTCCCCAGAATAGATGGATGATCAGAAACCTGCGCAGTAATACACATGCACAGAGGACAGACTCTAGTTCACATGTGCCAAACAGATGTATGCAATCTGCATGTGTGCAGCAGCTCTGCCTTTTGAGATGTGCATGAGGTGTTTAATGTTTGGCTAATGTTGTATGCCTGTTTTGGAGAAGGATACATCAAAACAGTTCGCAGTCTACTTCTATAATTTAAAATCTCATTCTACTTTTAGTTGTCACACTCCCATTTTAGTTTTCCAGCAGAGTGCAAGCTGTGTAGAGGGGTGTACCACCACAGTAAGATGAGCGTCTTTGCCATATTTTAGTCACTTAACAACTACACTGAGAAAAATAAAAAAAATCAGATACATATGAGAAGAAAATTGCTTTTTTAAAAGATTACATTAACTCAAGAATCCTGAAAAAAAGTTCCCAAAGGAGATGTCCTATTAGGAGCTTAAGAACTGGCCTGCAACAGAATTGTCCATTTTTCCTTGCCTAGCTAAAAATGTTGTGTAGCACAATATTGTAAGATTGGTTTTCAAAACACAGTTACAAATGTTTCTAGACATATCACAGCATCTCTATCAAGCAACACAGGTCTGAATAAGTTGCTGAAATACTAGAGCAGTTTATTATTCATGTACTACTTACGTTCTGTGTGTTCCAAGTTCAAAAGAATATTAGGAATTAATTTTTCTAGTTTTAAATGTAACAGTTGCACCGTTCTGCATGGAAAACCATACCTAACATGGCTGCTGTAGACTTAAATGGTAGCTGGAACCACTCTTGGAGGGCTGCTTTATCATTTTTAATTGTACTTGGGTATAGGACTGTAGTGTTCTTGGGTGTATTGCATGGGCTGCGTTATCTACGGCATTGTACAATAACAACTAGAAAAGGCAGTATTCTTCACTGATGCTTGTCTGGTAATATATATCACTTCTGTGTTATAATGGAAGGGGTTTTTGTGATGTATGAAACTTGTGTTTTTTATATAAACAAATATGGTTTAGACTAGTGTTGTGGTAATGCCTGTTCTCATTTGTAAATAGTTACATACATACACAAGGCACTACTCCTACCTGATTTTTGTTGCCAGTGTTCATTCTTGGTTTTTACTTCACTATTAAAAGCGTCAGGTTTCCGCTTTTAACTTTGTTCTTCTGAGTTATTAGATATGCAAACATGTACAGATAGTTCATATTTATGTATTGCACATAAGCTACCCAGCATCTATGCTATATTGTATTATGTAAATAATAAAAATAATGTACAGAAGGAAATACTTCCTTTTATGGTAGTTCATTGGTTTTAGTTCTTGCTGTAATGAGAATGTGACCTTGTAGAGGATCAAGTGCAAAGTTTAATATAAGTTCTTACAGATATTGTCCTATGCGTAAGCTTGCCTCTGTCCTTACTTGGATATGCGAGCTTTTTTGAGACAAATAGCCATGAGCAACTGGGTTAGAGGTAACTACTTGATGACCTGACAAAAATGCCAGCAAATAACAATGTGCTTTAAAGGGAAAAAAGTATTAGCAATAAACCTCTCCCAAATCCCTGGATTTGTCGTGATAGAGCCAGAACACTGACTAAACTGTTCTGTCCACATCTTCACCAGCAGACCTCGTCAGTTATTGTCAGTGTCAGCAACCCCATACAGGTGGTAAATACACCTGGTTTATCCTTTCCAGTGGGAAGGAAAAGGATAAAGTACACAGCACATGTTGCAATGGAGAAAGACATCATTAATACTGGATGATCCATAAAAATTGCTTATATCAGAAATGGATAATGTGTATTCCACCAGTCAGCTGATAGTCAATGTGATAATACTCTAGCCACTGTGTGTACCTCCAGTAAGGGAACACAGGCATGCTCTGGGACTTCGCCATGGAACTGCTTTAAAGTGCCCAAATTAGAGTATTTCTACCTTTCATATTAAAGCAACATCTGCAACTGCATTTCAGCATAAAGGTGTTGGCATTTTGGTTTTTTTTGTTTTTTTACCTGAGAGTGCCCTGTAGCTGGGTGTTTGGAGAACTGTCTGGTTTTGATACTTTCTTGGCTAGAATGGTTTAGGACTGGTACTAGTACTCATATTGTTGTTTTATGATTATGGTGGTCTCAATCTCAGTCTGATTTTTTTTTTTTGTACAAAGGTTGCACTTACAAACACTTGTTAAAATATTTGATCTTGGTGCATCTGTACAGCAAAGTATGGAATGAAAAACTTTTTCTTGTAAAATCGTTAACTGTATCATGTAAATTACACTTAAGTGGAGTATGAGCCTCCTCAAGTCAGTTGGCCAGCGCTTTGTTCTTTTAATAGTGTATGTCCTGAGCTCTGATTCCATTGAGGCTCACAAAACAAAGGAGGGGGAGAGTTGTTTGAAAAGAGCAGGTATTGGCAAAGTATGTAGATGGGGACGCTATTCAGACTTAAGTGCAAACACTGGTACATTTTCCAAGAAAGAAACATAATTGCTTCATGTGTCACTGATCCTCCTTAACATTTGCTTGTTAGACTGAGATCTTTTTAACTCTTGCATAAACACAAGTTCTGGGAAAGGTCTTACTCTGTTATAAACAATATTACTAGATGGTGGTGACTTTTTAGTTGGGAAAAAAAGGGCCATGTAAACATGTGAATAAATGAAAACAACTAGGTCATCATTTCATAATCTTCAATCTGTGAAATGCTTGACTAGCCCCAAGTGTTATGGCTCTGCAGTACTATGTTCCACAGGATTCTGGACAAATTTACTGACAGTTGTTACTGTTAAACCTGAAATTTGGAATGTAAGGATGGGCCTTCCTGTGGTGGTTCCAATGCTCATGATCTGCCAGATGCTTTGGTTGATTTTTGTGATGCATAAGGATGCCATGGGGTCAGGAACCCCTGACTACCAAAGCTCCTGACATGGTGCTTAGATCTTTGAAATCGTGCTACTGATCACTGGTGACTCTCCTTTGGAAGGTCATTATTCGCAAGTGTAACGAAATGTCTTAGATGCTTCTAGTCACTGAAAGGGCACTTAAGGATTTGACTCAGGTCTGGTGTCACTGATGAGTCAAAATGCATGTCATTTTTCCCGTGTTCCTAAGCTGCTCTACAGTATCATCTGATGCATCTTCTTGAAGGAGGAAATGTACAACAAATAAGGATTGGTTTGTTTCAGGTATCCAGGTGTGTTAGGTAGCTATGACTCAGTCACAAATGGAACTTTGCTCTCTGTATAGATGTGTGATTTTTCTGCTTCTTTCATAGTTTCTCTGTCAGCCTGAAATAACAGGTTTTCTCACAAGTAACATATTACTGGCTCCCTTGATCTTTTCCTGTAATTAAATACCCAGGATGTTGATGGACTGCTTTCTGATTTAGGACATAAAGAGCTTTGGCAGTATACCTGAAAATACCTGGATGGCATTGAAATTGACATATGACAAACATGAATAGTTAGAAAATAACTGAATAGTGAGAAATTATTTTACAGCTGGAAAAATAATGAGTGACTGTATGTTGAAATACAGTGCAGGAACAAAGTTCTGTCAGTGAGTGAGTGCAGTGAGAGTTATCACCACAGAGAGTTTTAAATGCCATTTTGCAAACCTGAATTATCACTTAATCTACTGTAAACACTTAGGAGAAAGTGCTTCAGCCTTTAAGTTGCCTGTTTTAGAAGTAATTTAGTGATGGCCAAAAAAGCAGGGTTGGAGTTTGGAGGTTTTTTTATCAAAGGAAATACAGAGGCCATTTCTGCTTGAAAGGGCATGTCAGCCTAATAAAGCCAAACCAAAGACTGAATCGCTCATAGTGTGAAGAATTGAGTTCTGTAGGAGGCAAATTAGCAGAATATCAGCAGTCTGTGATTTGATATAAATTAAATTAAAATAGGGGTTAAGATGTTAGTACTGAAATAAATGGAATAATCAACATCTACAATAGTCATTAAAAACTGGCTTGACTGTTTTATTTGTGTAGGTAGAATCTACTATTAAAAAAATTAAGTTGATAATTGAAATTTCTAGTGTCATAGCTTCCTGAAGAAGTTGTCTTGTATGTGTCTTTTGTACTAAATGGTAAGATGCAGAGGACAAATCCTTTTTTTAATGCCTATTTCATTTCAGTGTGTGTTTCTGTTGTAAGCTCATGGCCAGATTTGTAGCAGCATCGGAAGATGGGCTTCTCAGGTGAGTGTTACTGCAGCTCAAACTGCTGAAGTGAGATATCTGTCTTCATTAAATCCCCTTGTGATGCTCTTTCGTTTCTGTCTGTATCTGCAACTAGTTCACCAGCATTTCTTTCCAGGCAGCAATAAGCCTGCTTATCACAATCTGAGGTTTATTCACTATGAAGAGAAAACAAAAAATAAATGGCATAATTATATTTACAACTTTTGTTATATTGTTGGCATAACCTTGTGAAAGATGTTAAAAGCAGAAAAGATTTGCTGAGCTATTGCATGGCAAGCGTAGAGGTGAAGAAATGCTACCTACAGCTCTGACCTTTCACTTTTGGAGACCTATATTACCTGTGTCTAATATTTTTGCCTGTTTAATATATTTTCAAATATAGCAAAAGAAAATAAAGTCCCACTGTGAATCTTCACTTGGTAGTATCAGTGAGATTGCAGCACAAATCTGAGGAAAAGGAAATCAATTTAATTCACTATCCCTCATTCTTGTTCATCTACTCTTTACCACAGTGCACATATATGTTGTTTAAAACCCACCCAGCCTGTGCCATTTTTGGTTAGTGTTTTCCTTGAGTGGAAAACATTTTTAGATGTGATTGAATTTTCTTTAATGCATCAGGGAGAAGCTGGGTGCATGATGTCTGTCCCCTGAGTTCCCAAGAAAGCCTGTGAAACAGTTTGTTCATGGGACTATTTGACTTCCGTAATACTTCTGGGAGATCAGGTCAGTTTGGGTTTAAACAGGATTAGGCTAAAGCAGATATTCCTTAGTTGTACTTTAAGTAGCGTGGGATTTATGAGGGGAAAGTAGATTTATGACCCTGGAAAAATCTTGATCCCTCTCAGTCTGGTTTCAGTCTTCAGAGTGAGACTGAGCTGGTTCCTTTAATTGCTGGATTCATATGATGAATAATACCCTTACTGATTTGTGGATTTCTGTTAGAATTCCTGACGGACCAAAATCTTGGATGTTTTGTTGTCAATTCAGTCACGACAGCAACTCGAGGAAAGTTCACTGAGTACTGGGTCTAGTGTGAGGATGATGCACAGGCAGGCAGAGAGGTGAGACCACACAGACTTGCACACGCTGGTGAGGATTCGCGGTTTCAGTCTCTGTGCTGAAACAGTTTGGCTGGTACCATCAAGCATAGCAGTGATGCAAAGATTAGCATTTGCCATGGCGACTTATGTTTGCTAGCTGAATGTGAGCCAGTAACCTGCAGGTTGCAGAGGTAGCTTTACATTTAAGTGGATACTTTCGCTGAAACTAGTTAGTAATTACATGTCTGGACCTGCCAATAAAGGTCCAACAGTAGCAGCAGTTCACTGGCTTCTCAGCAACATTTTCTAAGCTAGAGTTTTGAAATTGTTCTATGTTAGGAAATGGCCTAGAGATTCAAGTTAATTTACTCCTCATTTCACCTAAGCAGGGGTGGTTGTGTTTGTCATCAGCTGAGGCTGAATCACAGTTCAGCACAGTCATTTCTCAGTGTTGGCCAGCCTTGAGTAAATAGAGGTATGTAACACTCATTCTGCAAATACCTGCTGGAGGCCAAAGGTTATATCAGCGAACAGTAGCATCAGGGCTTTTACTGACTCTGCCTCTTTGTTTTCCAGAGCCCCTCGTGCTGGTGGGTAAGGGTTGCTGTTCTCATGCACAGAGGGGCGGACAAAGCATGGACGGGGTCAGTGAGGGCACTGTCCTGCAGTTCTGCTCCAGCTGTGCCATATTACCAGAATACTGGCACCAGTTGCTTGACTGTCTTACAGCATTAGTTTTACCCTAACTCTTGCAATTGCTCCCTGATTTGGTTTTGGTGAAGTGATCCAAGTTAAAAAGCCACATTTTAAAGAGCAACATCACAGGTCTCAGGGAGGGTGGGTGAGTTAGACTACCAGAAGCAGAGGTACGACACCAAGGAGTGCCCCAAGTTCCAACTAACACCATCTTTCAATAAGAGGAGTGCAACCCCTGAGTTCTAAACTGCCTCTGTCTGGGAAAAGCAGCAGCTCTCCTTGCTTCTTCAAGTGTCACTGTGGCGCACCTGCCTTCCCAAACTCCAGAGTGGCATCAGGGAGGAGCAGCAGCCCCTT